ATGAGAGCAAACAAAATGTGTGATAAAAAGCTGTCGAAAGACATGGATGCCACGGCATCACAAAATTTTTCTATAAATACCCTACAGTCATGTCCCACAATAACTGGGGTGTTTATAAACAACAAAGCAGTAAAGTGTTTAATTGATACAGGTGCGAGTATATCGATTGCTCCTATCTCACTTGCAAGGACTCTAGGACTAAACCTAACCCCAGCAACAATTAGTATAACGTCTGCCTCAGGGCATGAAATTAATGTACTAGCTCAAGCTGAAGTATTATTAGAAATGGCGGGAACTAAACTACCTGTAACTATAAGAGTAGTAGAAGATAATCAAATCACAGGAAATAGAACATACCAATTAATTATAGGATGTGACATTTTGAAAAGACTTCCCCCAATAACATTCGATTTTAATAAAGGAAAAATTAATTTTGAAAATAAATTTAATTATTCAGACAAAAACAAGGCAAAATCAAGAAACATGCGTGTAGCAGCTATTGAAGCTAAAACAATTTTACCAGGAAAACACGGACTTGTTTCAGTGAAAATTAAAACTAATGGAGGAGAAAAATTGGCACTTGTACACTCACTGGACCAAAGGCTTGAGAAGGACCATCTTGCACTCATTGAGGCAGTGGTCACACCAAATGCAAAAGAAAACAAAATTTTGATTGCCAATCCAACAACTGAACCAAAGCACATATGTAAAGGAATGCACATTGCTCTGGCTGATGAGGTTTGGTCAATTAATGAACAGCCATGGGTAACACAGGTAGAAAACATTAATGTCAATGAATATGTAAACACTGTAGAAGCAAATCCGACATTCAAGGTAGACTTTTCTAAAAGCTCAGTACAGGGGGAAGATAGACAAAAATTAGAAAAATTGTGTGAAGAATTTTCTGATGTATTTAGTAAAACACAATATGATCTAGGGTCATGTATAGCAGGTGAATATGACATTATTACCACGACTGAAGAACCTATAACATCTAGGCCACATAGAGTTCCATTTAAATACCGAGAAGAACTTCAGAAACACATTGAAGCACTTTTAAAATCTGGAGTAATGGTTAAATCAGACACTCCATGGGTATCGAACATAGTTCTAGTACAAAAGAAAGATGGAGGTTTAAGACCTTGCATTGATTTTAGGAAGCTTAACGAAGTAACAGTCCCAGACCACTTTCCTCTTCCGCGATTAGAATCAATAATGGAAAGGATAGGAAACTGCAACTATTATTCCTCACTAGATTTGTCAAGCGGTTACCTACAGATTAGATTAACAGAAAGAGCTTCTAGAAAATGTGGAGTAATAATGGAAGATGAGATATACCAAATGACACACATGCCTTTTGGACTAAGGAACGCAACAAGCGCATTTGCGAGAGTAATGGCGCATGTAATAAGCGGATTAGATGAGTGTGTTCTAGCATATGTAGATGATTTCCTAGTCTTTACAAAATCTCCAGACTTTGATAAACATTTAAATGCATTAAGGCAGGTCTTTACCAGATTAAGAAAGTATTTTCTAAAAATAAGTCCCAAGAAATGCATATTTGCCTCAAGGGAAATGAATTTCTTAGGATACACAATAAATGCCAAAGGGTACACTCCCAGTATCGCTAAAGTTGAAACAATAAATAATTTACCTGCACCCACCACTGTCAAAGAAGTTAGGCAAGCTATAGGCATGGCATCATTTTTCAGAAAGCATATTCAAAACTTTTCGCTAATAGTTGAACCTCTCACAAAGCTTACTAGGAAGGAAATCGAATTCCATTGGGGTGACGAACAACAGCAAGCATTTGATAAAATCAAGAAAATTTTAACTAGTCAACCAGTTCTTGTATTTCCGGATTACGAAAAACCTTTCCACATATTCACCGATGCGTCCCTTACTGGACAGGGAGGCGCTCTAATGCAAAAAGATATTGAAAATAATACATATAAAGCAATCGCGTACTGTAGCAGGACTCTAACAATTTCAGAACGCAAATGGGCACCCGTCCAAATCGAACTGGGCGCCATAATATTTTCTTTAAGACAATTCAGACCTTTTATTTATATGGCTGAAATAGAACTGCACACAGATCATAAACCTCTTGCGTACCTACTAAAGAAAGCAGATGCAAGTCCAAATTTAGCACGCTGGCTTATAGAATTGCAAAATTACAATATCAAAATTGTACACATAGCTGGTAAAGAAAATCTACTCGCTGATGCACTCTCACGATTGCAAAATCAACCAGAAGAAGAGCAAACTGAATTAGAAGACATTGCAGAATTCCCAGTTTGTTTCACGCTCCCTATAAAAGATGGGCTTATTAATGAACATTACGCTTCAGTGTTAACACTTAGGAAAGAAAATGAAAATTATGCTATAGACATTAAGCAAGAACAAGAAAATGACATGGAAGCTGCAGACTATATTAAATTTATAAAAACCGGGGAACTCCCAGAAGACATATCACCCAATGATCAGGAGAAATTCGTATTAAATGCTGAAAACCTGAGAATTATAGGGGATATACTATGTCACAAACTTCCGAATTTAAAACCAAGAATATTCGTACCATCGTCACTCAGGGCTCTTATTTTTGACTCATTTCACTCCTCACAACTAGGGGGTGGACATATGAACTTGAAAAAGACCCTCAAGAAGTGTAGAAAATATTATTGGCCAAGAATGCACGCTGATATTTTAACTTGGACACGAAATTGCATAACTTGTCAACTTAGACACTCACCCAATCCACCATACAGGGCAGAAATGCAAATGGTACCAGTAAACACACTATTTGCTAAAGTAGGGTTAGATCTTGCAGGACCATTCCCATTAACGCAAAATGGCAATAAGCATGTAATGAATATAATTTGCTGGTTCACTAAATACGTTATTTCAGTACCGGTACCAGACACTAAAGCAATGACTCTAGCAAGAGCATTTCTCAATAATTGTTATTTAAAATATGGTGGCTGCGTAGAACTAGTAACTGACAATGCCACAGCTTTCACAAGCGAATTCTTTAAGGACTTCTGCTCAATGTTATACATTAATAAAAGCTATGCCACACCACACTGGTCTCAAGGAAACTCAGTGACTGAAAGATCCTTTAGAACATTCCATAATATTCTCTCCAAGTACATAAGTAAGGATCAACCAGATTTTGACGAATTTTTAGACTGCGCATGCTTCTGTTATAACACTTCGATACACACGTCGACAGGTGAAACGCCATTCTTTCTCATGTTTGGTCGTGATCCTATCTTTTGCGTAGACCAAATACTAGACCCGTCAGTGTACAGTCCTGTTGCGTTTACAGACATTTCCGAATTTAAGCAAAGACTAATCACTTCACTTAGATGCGCCTGGGAGGCTGCAGATGAAGCAAATAAGCAAGCACAGTTAAGAGCAAAGACTCAATATGACAAATTAGTAAGAAATCCCACAGTCACAGTAGGAGATAGAGTATTACTCAGAAACTATGCAGGGAAAATAGGAACTTCTAAGAAATTTCATATGCCTTGGAAAGGTGTATTTAGAGTAGTAAAAATTGAAGGAGTACATGTCACAATAGTAAGTTGTAACTCACCTCAGGGTACATCCAGAAAAGTGCATATAAATCAACTAAAGAAGTGTTTTGAAGCACTAACACCCGCTTGTACAGTACCTGAATTATCGAGTGATGAAGAAAAAGCTCTGGCAAGAGCTGAAGAAAACGAAGGTATTGAAAATGAAAATATTTCCCAAGAAATCGAAACTCCCGATATACAGGAAAATCAAAACTCAAATACTGAAATAGTAGAAAAGAACACTTACAAGAAATATAATTTACGAGAAAATCCAAAAAAGAAAAAGTTTTCCTTTTAAAAAATAAAACTTATAGGGGTCATACATTCAAAACTCTTATTCTATTCATCTAATTTCACTTAATCAATCTTTTAATTTTTATTCTTCTAACAAAATCATTTAAAACTATTTCAATTAATCAATTTTCTTTATTCGCGTATTTTATCTCACATTTAATTTTTTTTTACATAACCGCGTGTTTAACTCACATTTATTTTTTTTTTCTCTCCCAATTTAAAATTTTTTTAAATTTTTTTTTTCAATTTTCAGTTATAAATGGACAATCAAAATGTTAGAAAACGTGGCCGCGGTCATTTCTATTTCAAAACTGAGAAAAATGAAACAACAACAACAAATAAAGCTGGTCCTTTGACCATGGAATCCACGGATTCAAAAAGCTTAAATAAAAATGATGGTCTGTTGACCATGGAATCCACGGATTCAAAAACTCTAAATAAAACTGCTGGTCTTTTGACCATGGAATCCACGGATTCAAAAACTCTAAACAAAAATGCTGGTCTTATGACCATGGAACCTACGGGTTCACAAAAACCAAAATCAACCACACATACAAGTGTGGAAGAAGAAGAAGCCTTCCAAAAGATCATGGAAGACGCTGAACAAGAAGAAAGACAAGAAATTTCTGAAAGTATGGAAAAGCTTATTCTTGAAGAAGATATGGAAATAAATGAGGAAAATGAAGAAGAACAAATGGAGGAAGGCGAAATAAACGAATCTGAATGGGCCCAATCATCTTCTAACTGGGAAAACCCGAATAAAGAAGAATAATTTCTAATAAGGCTTTTGAAAATCAGGAATGGCAAGAAGTAAAATCAAAATCTGAAAAGAAGAAAGAGAAGATTGAAGAGGAAGCCATAACTGCAAGTCGAAAGAAGAGATATGTGGTTTCTCAAGTGCAAGAGAAACGATCAATCGCAGTTATTCCAAACCCTGAAAAACTATCGATGTGGCCTTTTGCAATTGAAATTCCCGATGAATTAACAACCGATCTTGAACGTCCATTATTTCCAGGAGACTCAATATTTGTAAATAAATTTGCATGGATTGAAGGAAGAAGACAAGTTACTATTGATAATTGGTATAGAAAGGATACAGGAATTTTAAGTTACCAAGCCACAGCATTAATGATTGATGTCACTCACTTTCCGTATTGGACTACCAAAACAGGAATTATTGTATATCTGAAGAAAAAAGAAGGCAAAGCAGCGCTAGCTCGTGTGACAGCGTATGGAATGGAGAGATCTGGAATGCTATACGCAAAACAATGCAGACACGGTCTTGACTTATCAAAAACACGGCTATCAGAATTTGTAAATCTAAAATTAGCTCCAATCCCAGCTGGTTGGATGATAGGAACAAATTATATAGTCCCACCCGGAGGATCATATAGACTCGGAACAGAAATTATGGCTAAAGAAGGATCTCAAATCTTAGCCTGTGCTGAACCGTTCACTGAAAAATGGCGCTGGTTAACGAAGACAGGACTTCCGAAAGTATTTCCAATTGATAAAGATTATACGTTGAAGGAGATGAAGTTAGCTGAAGACATAATCGCAGCAGCTTTAATCACTGCAGCAGAAAATGAAGAGGTTGGTAGAATGGAAACCAGTTATTTTGGAGTAGTTAAACCAATTGAAGATGAAAAGAAGAGAACATTCACGATTAACCACATACACGAACAAAAAGCCCACATAGCTAAAGTACTCAGTATTTGGACAAAAGATACACCAGTAACTGCTAAAACTGGTTTTGAAAGGAAGGCATTTGCTAACGGTTATATAAAAGAAGTATTTAAATGTGATCGAGACGACGGTCTACTACAAATTGAAGTTAATATAATTCTAGTCCCAAATGAAGGTCTTTATGAACACGATGAAGACTTTGAAGCTATGACACACGGGATGTTAACAATTATTCAAGTTGCCGAAACACCCGGCGGATACCGCGATCAAGCCGATACTTTTGGCCTACATACCCCAACTCAATTAATTAAAGAAGAAAAATCTCCACGAACTGAAATACTCAAGGCGCTATTCGGTCGTCCAGGGACGGACGATTCGGTGGTTGGAGGTGATATTCCGAAGGAATTAGAGTGTGTAAAGAGTTTAAATGAAGAACAGCAAAATACACTCTCCAATTGGCTGCATGAAGGAAGGGGGCGCCTACATTACCAGCAGGCGCCCCCAGGTACAGGAAAAACGCGCCTGGCAGCCGCATGTATAGCCGCAGCTCTGAAGAAGGACCCAAAAATTGCAGTCTTGGCCACGGCAAATTCAAACTTGCCTGTGAGCAAGTTGATCGATGAAAGTGCCCAAATCAATCTTGGCAGTGAGATGTTGGCATTCTTCGCCTCGACAGCACGCATCCGATATGGAGATCAAATACTGCTACTTAGGGAACACCAACTTGAAAATAAAATAAAGGGAGAATTTGTAGAGAAGTTAGAAGGTTCTGAAAAGAGAGACGTAACGGATTACTGGCACATATCAAAGACAAACCACGTCACACCAAAGAAAGAAAAGTTGGGGAAATTTATTTGGCTAGAGAATTTAAAAATGCGATCTTCGGAACAATCTATATGTGTTTAGGAATACCACGCGCTCACATATCGACCACTCACCTTATAATCGACGAGGTCACTCAGACAAGCTTCTCCATGATGGTTCACCTTCTGTGCAAATTACCACTTGTCCGGTCTGTTCTCTTGACGGGGGACGTCCGTCAACTGGGCACGCATTTGAAAGAACTACCAGAAGTAATTCAAAGCGGTTACGGTCTTGAAAGCGTGACTGATCAAATGGAAAATTGCGAAAGAGTATCAGTCACCATTTTGGAACGATGTTACCGCTCGCATCCCATTATAACTGAATGCTTCAACTATTCCTCGTATGAAAAACACGACGAACGAGTAATCGCTGCAGTTCCCGCATCAAAGCGCACAGGATTGACGAAGCTTGGAATAAATCTTCCGGTGAACGATGTTCCTCTCATACTTCTAAATATACGAGGAACAATCGAGCAAGACAGCGCCTCCTACTCTCTTTCTTCACCTGAACAGACTGAGGCAGCTATTATAATTGCAAAAGCGCTGGAGCACCGAGATCCTCAAGGTGTTGCCATTATATGTCTATACACGTACCAATGCGAAAAGATTAGAGAAAGACTCTACCAAGAAAATCTACAGGTAGCTGTGAACTCTGTAGATGCTTTTCAAAGCCGCGAGCACCGCTTAATCATTCTTGTAACAACGAGCACTAAATCACCTGGCTCAGCAGCTCGCGCCGATGCCTCTGACTTTTTGAAGGATAGCAGGCGCGCCACCGTAGCGTTATCCAGGGCACAAAGCGGATTAATCATTATTGCCGATTTTGAAGCTATACGAGAAGGCGAGACGTGGAGAAGATTCATCACTGCGGCAAAACAACACACTCCCTTTGTTGACGAACGCTATTTGGATGTTATGGAAAATGAAGAACCAACACGAGACTCGAATGGAATACTCAACGATTTAAAAGGAAGGTCAATCGAAGTTAAAGTTGAAGAAGTTAAGCTAATACGCGGTGGCGAATTACGAACAGGAAGAGGACAACTTATTTGCAACAGATGTGGAAATCCCGGACACTTGGCAAGAGACTGTAGAAGAAGATGAGAAAAGAAGAAGATAGAAAATGGAGGCACAAACTTGGGGCACATGGTAAAGCTGTAAACTGTGGTGGGTTTGAAAATAAAATAAAATGAAAAATAAAAATAAAATTAAAATTTGGGAAATTAAGAAAAGACCAGGGGACGGTCTTCCCCGGGGTTGGAGGTGTAAGGCGTACTTTGATCCGGATGGGCAAGGATGGAGAAAAGGAACTTTAGTTCCTGTGGGAAAGGATTGAATAAGGGGAGGAGAATGACAAATAAGGCCTTAGGATAAAACTAAGTGGAAAATAGTGAAAAGGGGATCAGTCGACTGTTCACCAGTCAGTTGGAAAGTAATCAATAGAGAAGTGAATAACCGGCCGAAGAAGCTGAGAGCTTATTCATTAATCCTGCAGAAGAAGCCAAGAGCTTATCATTCAGCGCACATTATTCCCGGGCAAGTCGGTCTCGTAACCGACCAGCATTATACAAGCGCATAGAAAGGCCTACCCTCCGCTCCGCATTATACTCATCGGCATCGCCTCTCGGGGCCCTTAACATCGCACGCAACCCGCCCAACATCCCAATACCATCCTGGCCCAGCACTAGCTTTACTATAATGGATTTTGGAACAAAACAGACATTTTAAAAATATTCTAAAATTTTATGTTAATCTTTATTATATTTATTTATATATTTACGACATAAATTTTTAAACAAAAATTTATAATTTTTTATATTTAATTTTGGGTACTTTATTAATATCCCGCCCCCCCCCCTCTCCCTATTTGAGTCTCAGATTAATTTTTCCTTTTTTAGCAATCATTTATTTTTCTCAGGCATTATATGTATGTAAAAGGCAAATTAGATTTACCTCCTTTTTGATTTTTTTCTTCTTCTAATTTGCCTTTTACATATAATGCCCGAGAAAAATAAATGATTTCTAAAAAAGGAAAAATTAATCTGAGACTCAAATAGGGAGGGGGCGGGATATTAATAAAGTACCTAATTTTGTTTAATATTTAATTATGAAATTGAAAATTATTTTTAGTTAATATCAAGGTTTGGAATTTTGAAAATGGCTCGTAGTAGCACTTGTCAATTTTTTTTTCGTACTCGTACACAGGTACGAGTACGAATTTTGGTACGAGCTTCCAAACACTGGTTAATATCTCGAAAATAAGAAAGGTTCCTATTTATTATACCCTCGTTACCTAAAATCTTAGAACTAAAATCCAAATACCAAAAAATGTTAATCTAAATAATTTTAAACTCTTTTTTTTCTTAATATTTTTATAAACTTTTAAATTAACTTTAAGACATTCTCTCTCTTTTTATGTAAACAATTTACGTAGCAAACTTGACATTTACTATTCCATTTAATACCTTATTTAAAAAAGATTGTTAAAAGCCTAATTTACTTGTCTCATTTACAAAAATCAAAAATAGAAATATTTACATATTTATCTGTAAATAATTACATATTTTTAAATATTTTCTTTGTTTTTTTTGTAAAATAACTCTCTAAACTGGTACAGCTTGGGGCGGAATTGAAGTTGCATTTACACCTTTTTTATTTATTTTTCTGTCTCCTTTTTTAAAAAATTATAACCTTTTTAATTATGTAATTATTTAATAATAAAGGGAATCCCCCTCCCCCATTTTGTTTATTCTAAAACCAAATTTCACTGCCATTTAATAGCAAAAAGGCTTTCCCAATTCCATGTTATTTTTATTTTTACTTGTTAATAATATACTTCTCCCTCTAGAAATAAAATATTTATTTATAAAATACCTTAATAGATAAATAACATCATTTACGTCCATATTTGTATTTATTTATTTCTTAAAAAATAAAATTCACTTGTATATTTTAGCCTTTTTGTATAATCTTTTACAAATGCCTTTACAAATAATATTAATTAATATGATTTGATAAAATATTTAAAATATTATTTTGTTATATTTTAAATTATTATCCAGTACATATGGGATCGAGCTGGACATTTACCCCTTATTTCTTAGTATTTTTTATCAAAAGGATATTGTTTACCAAAAGTACTTATTAATTAGACATGGTGACCAGTGATGGGAAAGTTCCAAAATTTCTCTGGAACCGTTCCACAACTTTGCCGGTTCCACGGTTTCAGTTCTGGAACTGGAGCTTTCCCATCACTGCTGGTGACTAATATGTTCACTCTATGATAAAGCGATTTTTGCAATCAGCTATAGTTAACAAACAGATTTCTTTCCGAAATTTTATATCTCAATACAAACTTTAATTTTTATGTAAATAATTTTAAATATAATTTTTAATTTGAAATAGCTTTATATTTAAACCAAACATGAAACTTTCATTTTATTTATCCTCTTTTTAACAAAAATAATTTTTATAAAAACATTTTATTTTCATTTATTTTTAATACAAAAATATACTAAACAACCTAAATCCCTAAGCATTAAACCATTTTTCCATTAGATTTCCTTCTTAATGTCCTTAAAATCCTATCAATTAACGAAAGAACTTAAAAATAAAGTGAGGGAGCTTTTAGCCCGACACTTTTTTACAACTTTTCTATATTTCCTTAAATAAATTTTATTTTGTAAAAAAAAATATATTAGAATTATTAATTATTTATTTTTCAATTTTTTGTAAAAATTATTTTTTTTATTTTCGAAGAAAAATGTATTATAATAAATATTTAAATATAATAAATATAGTATTTAATCTCAGAATATAAATATATTAATTCTATTTTTCTACCATCCTCTAAAGGACAGTACTAATTTCGGTATATACATTCCACATATTGATGCATAGGTCCAATACTTTTTGACTTTTATTATTTGTCTTTGAGTGTCGAATTTTTATTTCTGCTTTTTATAAAAATAAATAAATAATATTTAAATATTTTTTTAATTTTTTTGGATTTAAGATTACAATTAAAAATTAAGATGAATCATTTACTTATTTAAATACGTAGATACCTTTGTGTACTATATCTTACTTGTATTTAAAAATCTAAAAAAGAAATTTATAAGAGAATTCAATTTAATACTTAAATTTGCACTTTTTTAATTTGAAAAAATTCTTCTTATTGCAAACGTAATAATTATTTTATTCTTTTTATTTAATTTTTATTTACG